TCTCTGCTGTATGCCTTCATGTAAAATTAGAAAAGACAGGCATTACTATGAACCCAGTGTGGGTTCACGAGGTAGAATCGGCTAATGCAAGTTGCAAATAATTGCAGATAACATTTTAAATCATAGCTCATTATGAGGCCAACACCAGGTCTGATCTGAGTGCCTCTCCACTTTAATTCCTAGGTATTATTGTTCATCATGACATAGCGCTGAAAGACAAAATGCAAATCAAGCACACGCAAAAGCCAAATGAGCCGCCTCCCCATCACTGTCTAAATGAAGTGCTCAAGTTCAGTTTGGATAACATGAATAGCAAAGGTTAAAAAAAGAACATGGGGAGAGGAGTAAGGGTGTATGAGCGAGTGAATCTCTGAGTGAGGAGAAAAGTAATAATGACAGTGAAAGTAAGAGGGTAAGGAAGAATGGAGGGCTTAGAGGGATGGAGAGTAGAGGGGCAAGTAAACAAGAAAGAAGTGATGAAGAGGAGAGCACTGTAAAGATAAGAGGCGTAACAAAAGGAGAGAAGTAAAAAATGGCAGAAGTCAGGACTCTAATCAATGAGTGGAGAGACGTTCGGAGGGATGAAGGAAGAGAGAGAAGGTGTTTTAGTGAGTGAGTGCGTGCCAGTGTGGCAAGTTGCCATTCGAGCAGTGGATAGTTGATGGTGCCAGGACAATTTAAGGATGGCTTAGTATATCTACTGTGCCTGGAGGTGGAGAAGGCATGAAGTCAGTGTGTGAGTCTCAGAGGTCAGAGCAAGATAGAAGAACTCTAAATGTAGTGTAAAGAGAGAGAAAAGAGAAAAGACTATGGCTATTTTATACACACACAAGAACCCAACAGGAAGTTTTATATTCTAAGTTTGGCAAACATATACATTTAAAATATGACAACTCTGTCAACCAAAAATGATTTTGTTGATAGAGTTGTCATATTTTAAATGTATATAACTGGAGAAATAATTCTTCAATATAACTATACTTAAATTATAAGTTATGCAACTTTTGATAAAGTCTCTACTTCTGAAATCAGTACTTTCCTGTGCTTGCTGATGCCCTATTGATTAAACTCTACACTTACTTTCATTCTCGCCATTTGTGACAAAGAAAATCAATGCACTCTTATTCACGCATTTGCTAGATGTTAAACTGAAGGGAAGAAATACTGATTTTCTTTCCCAACTCAAGAATAGCAGTTGCCAACAGGGGTTATCAAATATCACCAAATGACATGGTTGACTCAGCTCTAAATCTGGCTGCCTAACCATTAGTGTCGAGCTTTACTAATAGCTGATGTATGATACTAACATGATGGCAGCATGTATTGAACAATATACAGAGTACAGCGTCTCTGTGCCTTAGGGAACGATAATATAAAACAAAACAAAACACAGCCTTTAATGCTAATACACTCTTTATAACAAGTTGATGTCCACAGAAATCTAAGAGGAACAAAGAGATGGGAGACACCAGAGATGTGTTTTGGGCCATGATGCCTTAAATACTGTAGATACTGTATATAATGTAAAATACGTAATGTCCCTTCTGTTTCCAGTGCTGTGCTGGTAATAAATCAATGATATTGCTCACTGACGATAATCTAAATATCATAGCCTCATAAACAACACATGTTCAGAACACATGATATGCCAGATGTATGACAGATTAAAATTTATACTATAGCATTAAATCTGCTTGATTGTCAGTATAGATACAGTCTGTGTGTGCACACCAAGTATGTTAAATGGGTATGCAGACATATACACTATATGGGCGCTCTGATAATAGTCTGTATTTTTAGGTCATCCCATTCTGTAGGACAAAGGGTCAGTTGTACTTTAATCCCATGCTTTATCGTGCATCCCCACATCTGGGTCACTCTGTAAGTTTCCCCTCACTAAGTGCAGTATATCAATCATAATTTCCATCCACCTCCTACTTCCTCTGTTCTGGCCCTCCTCTTAATATGCCACTTCTCTCCAATCAGATAACAGCATTCATATGATCATCTATTTGCATATACTTTCACAATGGCTGTTTATCTTTTGCCATCATACTGTTGTATAGCTGCAACAATAGCTATCCATATGGTGTGCATATAGGGATTAAGACAGAAATGCACTTGAAAAAAAGAAATAAACCCCCTAAATGGATGAATATCCCTCTCTACTTTCCCTCTCTTGGGACAATGCCATCCTCAAAGACTGGTGTTAACCTTCAGTGCACTTATGACTGACTACTGATAGTCAGTGAAGTGCCAGTGAACATTACAGCCCATCTGTTACGTAATGCATAGCACTAGAGTACAGATTACAATGACCATGTTCCAATCCCCTGGAATGGATAATGAATAAAGAATGGAGCTAAAATGGAGCAGATAGGAAGGACAAAAGTCACTTTTACAAGGAGGGTAAGAGTCTGGATGAGTAAGAACAGAGAAAGCGTATGGGGTGAGCCAGCTTGGATACTACACTATCAAAAGCTTGAGGGAAACTTTCTATAAAAGAGGGGAAGAATAGGGGCACGGATCCAGAGGTCAACAAAAGGTTGTATCTTAGAAAATGTTTTGGCTGTACTGCCCACGCAAGATAACATTTACTGTTGTTACTGCTGCAGCAGCCGCTGCAGTGCAGCTCATGAATCTTTGAGCCAGAAGTGCGCCTTGTAAACAAATGACTCTGGGTCAAATCTGGTAGATGCCGAAAAAATAAATAAAATAAAAAAAATTGTAAATGCCTTCATCCAAAGCAGCACATCAAATAGAGATTGGTGACACTGAAAGCAGCACCTCATCCAACAGGTTTGATTTGTAAGGAAAATAATGTCACTGTCCATTGTAGGTCTGCCATTCAATTCAGTTAAACTATAAACTAAATCAACCAACAGTTATAAAATGTCTATAAAATGTGACATCTTTAAATTTCTTGTTTTGTCTGACCAATGGTCCAAAAGACAAACATAAATGTACTAGACAAAGAACAGTAGCAACTTCTTAAGTTTGAGATGCTTTAATGTGATTTTTTTTTTTTTTTAATTTAGCTTGAATAATAATTTGTCAACACATTCATTTCAGAAAGTTTTGTCATCCCTAATAATAAGCCCAGAAAAAGAACACACATCACTGTGTGTCTGATATTATACACTCACACATCCCTTAGCTCTAATATTCAACTTTGAGCTGGTTAATGTAGCTACTGTATACAGCAGAACAGCAGTCTATCGAATAAGCCCACACATTCTATGAATCAGAAGCACATTTATTCTATTTAGAGGTTTGAAAAGTGGCCTAATCACACTTCAGCTTGTTCAGCTTTGAGCTGAAGCAGACTTGATGGGTGGAATTATCAACAAGAAATGCTGTGGAGCTTACTTTAACACTCACTTGTAAGCACATTGGCAACACTGTTGCTTGTTAAGCTTTTGCCAGATCAAAATATTCGTCTGTAGCCAGCAAGGAAGAAGCAAATGCTAGAGACACAGCTGTTGAATACTAAAGAGAAACCATCTGAGCCAACAAAACCTACATCTGTGCAATCTATAAGCCTATTAGTCGAAGGGCTGGAAGGTTTTAATCACTGTCCTTTGTCTATAGGGTCCGTTACCCAGAGACTGCATTATGGTCCTTGGCTACTCTTTACAGGTCAGAGGTCAAAGTACTCTTACAATGATGCACACTGCTTCATTGACTGACTGTGAGGTGGGAAGTGCTTTTATCGGTTTAGTGTGCAAAAATGAGTCTCCATGGGTGAGAGAGTAAATTGTGTTAGAAAGAATGTTTTTACAAATGTGTTCTTCCCGCCACCCTTTTTATGAATATACATTTTGTATGAATTATACTCTTGCGGACATAATTCTCCATTCCTTTGTGCGTTTCAGTGTTTAAATAAATAGCAGAGTGACTAATATTGGGGTTGTGTGGAAGCGGTAATTGCAGCAGGAATAAATATCCTCCATTTTTCTTTATCTTTCATGTACAGAGTCTGCTGGGAGAATTAGCATAATGAGAGGAAAAGTAAATGAGCGACGCTTCATGGTCTGACAAAATGGCCGCCATCTGAGGTAAATTGTAGAGGTGTGCAAGTGTATATTATGTAGCTGTGGACTGACAAGCAGGGAGAGGTATGACATCTCTTGTGCTACAGTGTTCACAATACAAAACCTACAGGCATTTCCTGTAACACTAGCTTTCATTTATCAAAAATAATCTATACATGACAAACTGAGGTGGAAACGAGTGGGTAGATGCATGTTAGCATGGAAATGGCAATTATTGGACTGTCTGAAAGACATAGGCAGCATATGGACCTTTTAACATTAAATAATTCACAAGGGACCCATTTGCCCATAAGAATGCTAAACATTTACCATGTGCTTAAAGTTAAGTAGCACCTGCTACCATTTGATCAACTGATGCCATTATCTATTTAGAACAGCGGTGGCAGAAATATTGATCTAAACTGTGCACTTCAATAACACCGTGAGCCACTGAAGAACAACAAGTAGGTAGACAAAAGTAAGTGTTTTGAAAGAGGGATACTCTGTTTTGCTGTTTGGCACAGGCCCAAAAAACAGTCAGAGTCCAGCTGGGAAATCAATTGAAAATGTACCTAAACTGACATTATGACTCTCTAACCGAGTCCCCTACCTTCAATGCACCTGGAAATACAACAACAATTTAAATGTCACCCCAAGTGGAAACAACAAATCAGTCAGTCAGAGTTGTTTACTAAGTGAGGATTCACAGCAAACAGAAAGTCGAATTTGGATTTTACCACAGCTTTTGGTGATATAATCAACCATGAATGCCCAGTCTACAGCCCTGGTGGGACTCAAAGTGTCATTAACTTCGACAGAGAAATTTACTAGTGGCCTTAATGTAAAAAGAACCAATCCAGTCAGGGAGACAAGCTGCACAAAATGGCATTCAACATTAGCTTTTTTGCCCATCCTAATTCACACTCTCTACCGCCACCAACTGTATATCCCCATCTCTTCACTTACCATCTTCTGCAGGTGCTTTTCCTTGCGGACGTCCACCATGACCAAGCCCTCCTTGACCAGGCCCAGGCCCACATCGTCCTTGGTGTCCCCAAACTGTATTGTGACTAGTGGGCAGGTGACACCCGAGTATTCCACATTCAACAGGCACTGGCTGTTCTGGATGTCCCTCACAATGCAGTCCACCACGTCCGCACGGGCATCCTCCTAAAGAAACAGGGGTTGATAAGAGAAGAAGACAGAGGAGACGAGAGAAGGACAGAAAATGGGGCAGTAATGTGTGGTTGGATCGAGGCATGAATAAAGAAGATCAAGGAGATAATGGAGAAGAAAATGAGGGGGGAAGAAAGGGGGGGGGGGAATGAAAAGGATAATTAGTATGTGACCACTGATGGCTCCTAAACAGAGTTGCATACACACACAAATAACATGCTATGCAGTGTTTGAAAAAGACCCTATATAATCCTCTCTTGGAGGAAAAAACCCTGTCCTTTCAGTAACAACACATTCATACACAACATTCACCAATCAATTACAATTACATCATCACTCACATAGTAATCCATCAGTCGTGTAGAAGAGCAATTATCTACTCAATAAGTTCGAGATTTTTAGTTTGGCTGAACTATCCAATGTTTTGACTTTTTTGTCCCTTTTTTCTCTCATTCTTCAGTTAGTTACCTCACTCTCTTATTCCTAACCTGCTCAAATGTAAAAGGGCAGTGTTTGATTGAACACATGGTGGGGAAGGAGGTGAAACAGCCGCAATGCAATCCTGACCTCACGTCCTCCAGCAGTCAGGGCGAGAAAAGCAGAAAAACAAGGGAGCTGCATCTTTAGAGGGAGGAAGACACTTAAAAACAAAAATCAGTCCCTGGCCATAATCCATCCCTCCCCTACAACATCCATCTCTTCGCTTCCCTTCTTTCTCGCCCTGGTCTTGTCTCCATGGCAACCCCCTTCGAGCTAGCCGCCCTTGGGTATGTGCGTGTCTAGTGTGTGTGTGTGTGTGTGCGTGTGTGGGCAGGGAAGCTTGTTCAAGGCACCAAACTAAGGGCCTTTTTTGTCCCTGCTCTCCCCCTGGTCAACTTGTCACAGGCGCTGCAGGGAAGCTCAGGGCGAGAGAGAGAGAGAGAGAGAGAGAGAGAGAGAGTTAGTGTGTGACAGATAGAGAGAGAGAAAGACGGAGGGAGGAAGGGGGAAAGAGAGGGAGAGACGACCATCACAGGAGGAGAGATGAGACAGTAACGCAGGGAGAGCGTATTATAGAACAAGAATGCTTTGACACTCGTGGGGAGGCAATACAACATTAATGAGAGCCTTCTAGTGACCCTCTCTTGTCTACCATATGTGCAGAATAGGCCTGGTTCAATGTGTTAAGAACAGGCTAAAATATTTGCATTTTACTAACTGTAAATCAGTATAATTGCATGTGCAGCTGGGTATATAATAGCTTAATTTCAGCGCTATTATAAAACATTGCTGTGTGGAATATTTGTTTTTCTACTTTTTTTTCTATTGAACAATACTTTGCAACCTTACTGGAACTCTGCCAAGGTAAAACACTGATTGATGAATAAAATTATAAAAACGTATTTAATTAATCTGACCAGCATTAACTGCAGATATTGAGAATATGTGATACTCTATGCTATAACCACATTCATGAAGACATTATACATAAAAAGTAAATAAATAATATACCAATGTTTGAATGTCAAATAAAGAAGAAACAAATAAATAGAACTTTGACAATGGCAGGGTAGCGTTTTTCAGCCATTTCCAGTAACTTTTCAGTCTTTATAAATAATGCAAATGAGTAAAAAGATAGATAGAAAGATGCATGACCTTAGGGAGTGGCTATTGTGTGGCTGAACTTTTTTGTGTGGCTTTTTTTTTTTTTGAATTTATTTTGTTTACTTTTTACAAGTGCCTTCTTAGCATAAACTGCTTTCTTAAATTAGCTGACCGTGCATAATAAAGAGGTGGCAGTGTGTCCTCAGTGCAGGCAGCTGAGAGTTCACCACATCTGAGATAAAATTGAATTAAATAGTGCTAAAAATGTGGTAGCAGTAGTTGCTCTGGTGGAGGTAACTGCTGTAGCTGTCATGGAGATAACATGCACTTCGCCTACTTTGTCAAGTTACAAGTACACACCTCAGGTAAGGGAGTTTTTTCCTACAAAACAGCAGAAAAGTGAGAGTGCACCTCGATCCTGCCGTTTTTAAAAAAAGATATTGTCACTATGGAACATTTAAGGCAAGTGCGCTGTAGAGCAGCAGAATGATCTAGTTCTACTGGCAGGAGTTTGGTGTTAAAAAAAGAAAGATTTAAGACCGACTATGAAGCCATATAATGAAAGACTTTGTGTAGGGCATCGGGTGGCAGGTTTGTAAGACAAAGGCAACAACCTTTCTTATGCGCAGCACAGAACAAGTGGGGCACCATGCTGTCAGGGTGAGTGACAGAGTAAAAAGCTTCAGATAAAGCAGACGGAAAACACATGAAAGGAAAACCAAGAGAGAAATAGAAAGAACTGGAAAAAGGTTAGACAGATGCAGAGTGATGGAGAGAGAGTGAGAAGGAGGGTTTAAGGTGTGTGTCAGCTTCGAACATGTGGTAAAGCTGTCTGTGTGTGTAGGTGTGTGTGTGTCTGGGGGCTGTAAAGTGTAGGTGATGCCTTTGTTCCCAGGGCTGGACCAACAGATGGGCCACTTCATCCTTCAGGAGACACTGACTCATGAGACAGGTGACAACATGCAGGGCACTACCAGCTCTCTCTCTCTCTCTCTCTCTCTCTTTCACACACACGCACACACACAAAGCTTCCACTGTGTGACTGTGTGACGCTTTAATACACATGTCCAGTAAGAGGCCAATGGGTCCATATTTTGTTCTAAAAATAAACAAGTATTAAAGTGAACATTATCTCATTAAATAAGGGCAGTAGTGAAATGTTAAATTTGACAGTCACAGTCTACACCAGTGATTCTCACAGGTACCTTGGAATGCCATGAGGATGGGTCTGGGGGTGGCACCAAATTTATATATTGTAGTGTTTTAAAGGTATTATGTTACGTTTTCAAACATAAAATTGGCAGAAATAAACAATAACTATATTAAAAACCTTGTTACACAGCCAATGACAGTTGCTGGTCGTCATAGTAACACAGCATGCTTTACAGCTCGCAGGTAAAAATGACAAAACGTTTCCTATGAAGGGGTGCCATGGGAACCACTGGTGAATACACTAAAATAACACTTAATATTAAATTAAATAAGGATAGACTACATATCCAGGAAGTATGACGCAGTACAGTTCATTGACTACAGCCTCTAAACTAACCATAAAGTTGTGTCAACACCTCTCCAAACCACTATCAACAAAAACTGAACAAACGCAGCAAACGCACAATGTCCGTTGTGAAAAGAAGTCACTATTAATTATAGAAACAGCCGACATTACAAACATGCAAATGCTGTGCACCTTATCTAGGCTAAGAGGAACAGCCACCCTTAAAACTAACACTCTCTCAACTGCGCACACACACACACAACCAATTAAAGACAGGGCTTAGCACAGTGCCAATCAGGCACATACCAAAAGAAAACATGTTTTTTATCAGCACAAACTATTCAGGATGCTGCTGGCTCAGAAGGCTACCAATGAGTTGACCCCCCTGACACACACAAAACACAGTCACTCACACACGCAGAGACAAACACGCACACAAGTGGTCACCAGAGGTTGAGTAAACACACTTGGATGTAAACAAGAAGATTAGGGCTGCAGAAAAAAACAGTAACTGCTGCTTGGCTATCAGATAGACATTTATATGCAGTGACACATGCACATAAAGTACCTGGATGGTTTATATCTATCTGTAGGACGTGTGGGTGTCTGGGTTGTTGAAGAAATATAGTATACCTTATCAAATTGTTCATAAAACATTAATGTCTCTCTGCTACTGTGTCAATTATTCTCTAATTTATTGCAACCAAGTAAATCAATGGCTTGATGTTTGTCATTGCTCTGTCTGCTTTGTACTGCATGCATTATGGATGAGCATAATTTTCACTAACACTTGCTTGGAATGAAAACTCGACCCTGTCTGTCAGTTACAGACTTATCACCTCATGCGATAAGTGAAACTCAAACAGTTTTTATGTCTCGCCAGAAATCAACTTTCAAAAGCTGGCAGAAAATGAGACTGGAGAAGTTGATATCGCAAAGTTAATTTTGAAGCTTTCAGCTGCAACACATATCTCCGCGGGCGCGTACTCGTCCGTGCACTTACGTCCTGTGGGATCTGGATGAAGGCGAAGGCATACTCGGTGGCCTGTGCTGGCAGGGTCCTGGTGCTGAAGGCAGGGGGGATGGCAGCCAGACGAGTGGACGGCACAACTTCTCTCTGAGGGAGGATGAATGGAGGACAGAAATCAGACCCAATACAGAACATGTTCCAAGACAGTCTTCACGGTGTTTATCTGAGCAATCATATGTACACACACGGTGCCATTTGTTTTTCTGTATTATAGTAAGCCCAAATTTTGTAACTGTAAACTCTGTGTTTGAGGTAAAAAAAAATACAAACTCTTGGGAAATGATTTGGTTTAGGATTTTTGAGAATGTGAAGTGAAGCAACAACAATTGTAGAGCGTGTTTGTGATGATGACTGTGTCAAAGCAAACATGACAGAGACATCCATCTCCTGCCACAACTACACTAAAGGAAGCCAACAGAGATCAAGGCAAAAATGTCTGGCTTGTTCAGTTGTGATACATACAGAAAACAAACATGTAATAAGCTTGTGATGAAAGTTTACGTTCTAAATATTTGACATTACAGAGTCCATCTCTCAAATCAAATCCCTTTCCACGTGAGGGACATCCTCAAACGAAGCACACACTCTGGCTGTAAATCCATCCATCCTGTAATGTATTACGATTTTTTCTTGATTCTGAATCAATTCTGGGATCTGTATGCCACTTTAACGACGATAGTTTACTGTGAAAGAAGGACAGATGCCATTTCATATATGTCACCCTACAATCATTTTGCAGCTGTTTCTACAGCAGTACTGAGGCCTCTTTCACTAAGCTCCATCTGCTCTCTAGCTCAGCTACAAGCTAAGAGTTAAGACGACCAGTTGATAGTCATCAGATTCTTGTCAGATTAGAAAAACACACCAAAACCAGTTAAAGGTGAAAAAATGGCAACACTACTTGCTGGTGTGCATTTGAATACGATTATGATTGAATTGTTTCAGTGCTACAAAGTAACATTTCCTAAAAAGAGAAAATAACTCAACTAATTATGCAGCAATTATCACATTTTATGAATTCACAATCTTTAGTGTTTTTATCTGAATTTATAGCATCATACATATTTGGTTTTTAGACTTTAAGGATCCACAGTCCAGTAGTCAACATGGGTTCACGCTCACAGGCCTACAAATCATCGTCATCTTCAGTGCTAATGTCATTTATCCACTGTGTAATAACAAAATGCCATATACAGTCCTATATATTT